TTCACATCATGAATCTACAGTCTGAGAGATAAGACTGACGGAAAACTCACAGTGCTTTTATTTTGTATTGACCAGGTGGCTCTTGGACCATGTGAATAATAAATATCCACGTCTTTCTCTGGTCCACATAACTAGGATGCACAATAAAAATCCCATGACTTTCCAGGAGAGACATTTAGCTGAGACTTTATCATTATTCGTCATGTTTAAGAGTAATGAATAGCTTTTAAGTCAGGGAAAGAAGGGGAATTTGAAATAATTCTTCAGAGCAGATCACACTTGTTTTTTGTTTTTTGTTTTTTTCTAGGACGAGAGTATTACAGATTAGCTTGCTCCATAGAACTAAAGAAGGGAAAACAAAATCAGGAAACAGTGCATCAGTCCACGATGCCACCTGATGAACACAATAAACTGGGGCTTCCCTATTAAAAATAGGGGTCCAGCATCTGTAATGACTTGACATAAGATTTGTAAGCAACTTTTTAATTGGCATAAGTGCACAGAAATGTATCCATGGAGCTTCTGATCCTCCCTCATCACTAACCCGTGCAGTGCATCATTTACACCCCAGATTCAGTCTACAGCTCTGTTCGGGGAATCAAGCAACATATCTGTGACTACCTTTTAGTTTGCAGCATATGACTCTAATTAATGATAAGGTCCACAAATTTATCAGGAATTTAAACAGCTTTAGGAAATCGAAGATTTGAATGCTTGTCCTTAGCCACAGATTACACCTGGCTCTCCATCACATGCTTGTTTCCTATTCAAGCATTAGTAAGAATCACTAGCTCTTTATAAGAGTGAATCATGCCTTCAGTTTTGTCAAATGATTGGTAATCTTCCCCTTCTGACTGCTCAGTTTTTCTTGTCGTCTTTGAAATTAAACAGAACATGCTTGCATCTATTTTTTTCTGGTGCAAGTAAGCTGAAGGTCTGAATTCTCTCAAAGATGTTTTGTTGCTGAGTCCATCTTGCACACAACTATTACATCTAATAAACTGCGTGCGTCTGTATGCCCATATGTACGTATGCCTGCCTGTATATGGCAAGGTATCTCACATATAGATGACAAATGTTTTCTTCTGCAAACCAAATCCCACTGTCTTCTATTTAGCCACGATGCCCAAGGGAGGCAATTATTCAAGGTAATCTGTAGATGCACAGAAAAGCAATAAATAGTAGTTACTAGGGTTTAAAACTGGGAAAACCCTGTCAGGTTGTTCTGAGGAAATCTCCAGGCACATTAAACACAAAATGTGTGGTTTTAAATAACACAGCACAGGCTTGAAAAGGGTCTGAAGGCAGCACTATTCAGATCGTGGTGTTGTCATAGCAACAGACATTGAAATTCAAAATATGAAGCACAAAATGGGGGTAGGAGAAAAAGAAGGGTAGAGAACAGAAAAATATCAAGTAGTCATGAAAATCTTTAAAAAGAATATGAAAATCAGACATGCATGAGCAGTGATAGAAATAATCCAAATATACTTATTCTGCATATTACTGCTTGCATTTCTTTACCTTTTCCATACAACAATTTGAAGATGCTATATATAAATATTGATAATCTATGTCTTCTAACAACCCTCAAGGAAAGTATTAAAGTTACTATTTATAGATAGAAATACTGAGGCAGAGAGAGAGGTTTGTCCAAGTAAAATGCCTATGGCAGGGGTGAAAAGAAGATGTTCAACTATTTGCTCTGCTCTGCACTCACACGGTCTTCATTTTATTGCTTTAACATGCCTAGGTTTTATGATGTTATTCTCTAGTTATAAAATAGAGAGTAAATTTCATGCATTTTCGTAATACTGGTAGTAACACTACTCTATATTTAACACAAAAGCTCCAGTCCCTTTCCACAGTGTGTGCAGTTATTAAAATCCATCTATAATATTTTGTTATAATAATAATAATAATAAAAATAAATACATAGGGAATAAGTAAAATGGTAAACTTCCTTTTTTTTTTTTTCTTCCCCTCCCCCAGATGTAGCATAATGCAGAAAAAGATACTCATTCATGCCTAACTCATCAAGGAGCCATGGCAAATGTAACCTAACAGGAAAGAATTAATGTGCTGTTTTTGGGGATTAAGGAATCGTGTTGGTCAAAAACTTGAGATTACCAGAGATTTTTTCTTTCTATTTTTATCCCTCACTGACATCTCTTCACAATATTTTATTCTATGTCTATTACTACTTATCTGTATTACTAACTCGTGTATAATAGAATTCTGAAGTATATCCATGAGATTTTTTGATGTTGAATTTTGCAGTGATTTCCACATTAATTTAGCATCTTCAAGGAGTGATAATGAGGAACTTTCCCTCTCTCTCTATTTCCTACATCTTTATATCCCTTCCAGGCATGTAATATAATTTGAAGTTGCTGTCATTCTTGAAGTAATATAACACTACAGTATCTGTCTCCTAAGACTAACTTTAAGGTTTTTTAATATCAGTATCAGCAATATAAACCAGACAACTTTCAGGAAGTTTAGGCAACAAGCGATAAACAAAGAAAGTAGATAAAGGTAGAGAGGAAGCTTTCAAAATTATGGAAATGTGCTGACTGAACTGGGCTGGCAACGTACCAGAAGACTGCAGAAAACAAACAGACAAAAACACAAAAAGAAAACAACTACTGAAACCTAGAGCTTGACTGAGTAGAACAAAACTTCTACTAATTAGGAACAAACTCCCCGGGATTTCTAGGGTCGTAACTCTAGAAGGACCAATCTATTCTATTGTCACAATGACTGAAAATCATCTGGTAATTAGGAAGCTAGCAGAAAATAAAGCATGAGTGCACAGAGGATGAATAATGTGAAAGGTGAAGACAAAACCAAGGTACTACACCAAGTTCTTCGTGTTATTTTCCTTGACAAGTACTATTGCTCCAGCTAGTTTGACCAGGAAGAACTCTGCGTGGTAGGTGTTGAGGTGCTGTTCCACAGACCTCAGCATTTGTCTGGAAACTCACTGAGCTCCTCTAGTGCTTTCTGCATTTTGCAGCCAGGTCTGAAGCCATCCTTCTGTGCTGTCATTGTCCTTACTAGCAGATTCAAGGTAGTAACATTGACCAGATTTACTTCAGCATAAAACTATGGATTTGAGTAGGAGCAAAGTGGGGAGGCTAGAAGACAGTATATTTGGGAATTTTGAGAGAATGGGCTGAAGCGAAAACTTTCATTTCCCTGATCCTCGTTTTCTCCCTTGGATACTTGCAGAACTTGGCTCCTCTGTTTCCTGAGAGGGGCAGAAGAGATGATGCAGATGATGCATTGTGCTGAGTGGAGAAGAAGTCTGTGAAAACAGAGGACTGTATCTTCAGTCTGGTAGGAAAAAGATTGTCAATTCTAGCTAAAAACTGCTGTACTAATGTCCTTCTAATGCTTTCCACATTCAATTCTTGGTTGCAATTTCTAAATAAAATGAACAATTTGAATTTCAAACAAGCTTGCATATGTCTGCACTACACTGCACTGACTATAGTACAGGCCTACATTTCTTTTATATTTATTTAATAAATGTATGAAAGGTTTGGTAATATAAACTTACCACAACAAGGAACTAATAATCCTTTCCTCCACAAAAAGCTGAGACAGTCCTTCAGTAATTCTAATTCTAAAAAATTCTAAGCAGAACAGTAAAGGAAGAGCTTTTTTCTTGTTGTTGTTGGGTTTTTTTAAATTTATTTATTTACCCTAACACCCATGTGTACCAGTTTTCATCTGATTCTAGGCTGTCCAGGAGAGTTAACTTACCAAACAACAGACATAAGCATAAGAGGTCTTCTTCGGCCCTCTAAGAAGCTTGACTGAAGCTGTCTGCCAAGTACAATACGACACAGCTGAAATCAGACTGAGTAAGGCTGTTCATACCTGCTCTTTTCATAAAATCATTGATTATTTCAATGAAATTCGAGTATTATCATATAATTATTATTTTTTTTTAATCCAAAATATTACACGGTTGTAAAGTACCTGCAGGTAAAACACATCTTAAACCACCGTGTTTTTTTATACACGCTGGCCTAAAAACAAATTCTAGCTCAGGAAGCCTTGGTTTGGAATGTGGTTGCTCTGCCCATGTCCTGTTTTCCAGGTCAGTGATGTCAAAACAAACAAGATTGAAAACTTCACTGTTCATAAAGTTTTCCCAAATCTCTTAGTGTCACAGTAACACCACAGCACATAACTCTGTTTTGTTTTCTCTTGGTGTTGCCTGCTGCCTGGTCAGATATCTCCTCACAATTTGCCATATTCTCATTGCATTCTTACTTATGATTTACTGTTCAAAAAACCACCAACTGTCTAAAGGCTTGAAACCCACTGTACTTGCAGCTCAGTGTTGTAATTATGCAAACATTCTGCTCCAGCTACTAACGCCTGAATCGAGCCACCTACCTCACTCTCAGCTGGGTTTTCTATGTGGCAATACAGGCATTACGAATGTGCGATGCTCCCAAGAAGACATACGCTTATTTTCTGAGATTGCTCTTAACTGCCAGAATTGATTATGAAGGTTAAAAGTAGCATTAAAACACGTTTAGTAAAAACCCAACCCAACAATAACCTGTGGAGCTATAACCTGTGGAACTATTTTTCAGCGTTGTTGTATGATTTATCTCTTTATTTACACTACTTATCTTAGCAGGCACTTCTCAAAGATGCCTTGCTCCCTAGGACATTCAGGACCGTTTCCACTGAACCTCACCCGCTACCGGGGCAAACCAGCTCACACCAAGGCCGCGCCCGGAGCACAGCCCAGCTGCGCCTTGGGGGAAACCCACCCACCGCCCTACCGCCCTCTACACCACTCTAGCCCCGCCCCTCCCCGCCTTCCGCCAATCGAGTCGCCCTGGTGAGCCAAGGGGCGGCAGCTGTGGCGCGTGTTCCCTCGCTGATTGGCCGGTAGCCACTGAGCGTCAGCTGGGGGAGGAGAACGCCAGGAGTGGCTGAGAGGAAGAAGACAGCCGAGAGCTGATTCGCCGCCGTCTGTCACGTGGTACTAGAGGGGCTGTGACGCCCGCCGTGGCGGAGGGGCTCGGCTTGTCAGGTAGGTGGGTGCCGTGCTCGCCGCCGCCGCTGGTGCCCGCGCCCCGCCACCAGCGCCGGGCCCTCGGGGGGCTGCTGCCCTCCTCACGTCCGGTCTGGCCCGGCCGTGCCGCGAGGCGGGGGGTCGGGGAACGGGTAGGCCAGGCCCAGCCCGGCCAGGCGCGGGGCTTCACCTGCGGGCGAGGCGGGGCGGACGCCACTTGCGCTTCCCTCCGAAGGGGCAGTGGCGGTATCCAGCCGCCTCCCACGGCCCGGCGCGGGGCGGCGGCTCCGGTTCCAACCCGCACGGCGGCGGCGGCGGCTCCGCCCCGTGAGGCAGGAGGCGCGGCGGGCGCCATCCCCGCCCCCGCCCTAGGGACTGCTGCCGAGGCCGGGGGTCCGAGCTCGGCGGAGCGGACAGGAAGAGGACAGCGCCCGGCGGCGGCACTGTCGCTAGCCGAGGGTCAGCGGCTGCCGCTCTGCCGTGTGCCCCCCTCACGAACACCGCAGTCCGTCCCGCCGCTCCTTGCTTCCCTTCAGCAGTGCCTTGAGGGTTGGAGACTTCTGTACTCCTTGCAGGTTCGGTTTCGAGAGCGCTGCAGGCGCTTCTTGAGGCCGCAGTGTGTGTGTGATGTTCTCAGAATCCGGTCCGGGCAGATGCGGCATTTCAGATCCTGGGCTTGGCGTCTTGGGGGGCACGACAGGCTTACGGGTTTGGTGCATGAAGATGAAGCACACAGGATGGCATTACCTGTTCTTTTCCGTGCAGGAATGCTTCTTTTCCGGTGAACGTAGTCACCAGTGTGGACATCTGGGTTTGTTGCTCTTTTCAACAACCTGTTTTCTGTTCTCCTAACAGGAGAAAAAGGAAGTGGAACCTCCCAATGATGTGACATAACTTTCCCACGCTCTTTAACAAACTTCCTCAGAGTAACTCTGATGCTCTGCCTTATCTTTTTTTCAGCATCTTTGAACTAGTTGCAATACGGGCCACATCTGAAACTCTTGATTTTCAAGATCAAAAGAACTTAATGGGTATTATTACAAGGTCACACATGGCAAAGGTGTGTTTTCCTACAGAGATCACTGACGTGGTGAGCTGTGTGTGCGAGTCCTTGGAAGGTGCCAGGAGGTGGGAAGTTCATACTTCCCTTGCTGTCTTTCTGCAGTCAAAACAAATTGCTACTGATATACACATATTATAGGATGAGTTATGGTACCTGTTTCCTCCTTTAACTAGTTCAATTTTCATCTATTATGGCACACTGTCAGTGGTGCTGCAACCATGGATGTCCAATCGTGCAGTGTTATCCCCAGAGGAGCTGAGCTTTGGGGGTACTTCTTAGAAGGGAAATATATAAGAAATAAGGAGAATAAGGGAAAGAAAATAAGAATAAGGGAAAGATATATAAGAAGCCTGTGCAAAGTTCCTTTCTGGCTGACCAAAAGCTTATAAGGCCTTACATTGCATCAGGAGAGATTCAGATTGGATATTAGAAAAATCTCTCAGAAATGAGCAGTAGTGCATTTGGATCAGGGTGGTGGTGGAGTGGCTGTCTCTGGGGGTGTTCAGGAAACAGATGCGTGTGATGCTGAAGGGCATGAGTTGACAGTTGGACTAGATAGTCATACAGGTGTTTTCTCACCTTAATGATTCTATGATTTTATGATTTAATTATCACCAAGATCCTCAGAATCATAGAATGATTTGGATTGGAAGGGACCTCAAGGATTGTCTAATTTCAACCTCTGTGATGCAGGCAGTATTGATACCCTCTCAATCAGGTGCTATCGAACCTGACCTTGAACAGCTCCAGGGATGGGACATTCACAGCTTCTCAGGGCAGCCTGAGCCTCCTTGCTTTCCCACAAGTGTAACTTCATTCATTACTAAATCTCTCAGGAGCATTCTCCTTCAGTTGGTGTTCGGACTGCTGTGTTAAGCGCATCTGAAATCTCTCTGTCATTTGACTGTGAGCACAGGCTGGGGTAGGGGGTGCAAGGATTCTAAGGTAGAGTGATGTGAAGGAAAAGTGGACCTTCCTTCAGAGGGGGACAAGTTAACATGCTTCACTATAAGGAGGAGACTGAACACAGGGAAGCGAGAGCATGTGACTGTGTGCTGCACTGTCAGCAGGAACTACAAATTTTATTTCTCTTGCTGAAGGCATTCTGTGCCTGGGTTAGTGCTTCACAAAGCATGCAGGAGGGTTTGCTGACAACAGGCAGGCTGGTTCTAGGCTCCAGCCCCAGGCAGGCTTCCCGTGGCCTGTGCTGTGCTTGCGCACAGACCCCACTTCCTGCCTGCTGCAAGGGGAGGTGGGCCGTCCTGTTGGCCCATGGGCTGGCAGCTGGCCGGCGCTATGCCTTACAAGGAGGTGGGTGAACTGCATGAGGTCACCGCTTCGCAGGGAGGAGGATTTTCTTCAGTGTGTGGGAAGTGGGTCTGGAAGAGGAAGGGGGAGTCTTTGGCTGAGAGGAGGGAGGAGGAGCGGCAAGAGGAGAGCTGAAATTCACTTCTGCAGAAACTAAACTGTGTACGCCCTCTTATCTGGAGATAAAGGAGGCTGCCCTGTAGTACCGCTGAGTTACATTTTTCATGTATTTGCCTTATAAACATAGATTTAGAAAACTTGAGCAGAGAGGATTGTTATACAGGAGAGGGAGGCTTGGAATGGTTGAGTATTTGGCATTTAATTAGGGAGTAAAAGCATTTAAAGTACTGTGTGTGTAAATATGCATTAGGTGACCACAGTGCCTTAGAGAAGATTTCTTTTGAGAATTATTAATAACAAATTATTGGAATCCATGACTTTGTTTTTGGATTTTAAGAAAGGATGGTTACCTTTATTTTTAAGAGACACATGCGTGGTGGTGTACAGTGTGCAGTGCAAGGCAAGTCTTGTAAGTGCTTAATATGCAGTGTGTATCTGTAATTACTTGTTTTTTCTTTAAGGACAACTTCTTGTGACAAGGAGTTTGGATTGCCATCATCTCATATCATGAAATCACATTTCAGGGTACGACTGTAATTTTTTAAAATTATTTTAACAATTTCAAGTGCAGAATTAGGTTTGTTTCAAGTGTCGTGAATCTGAAGCAGTTTAGATTTTCTCAGTGCTGGGTATTTCTGTGATGATAAGTTCCTGGTAAGTTTCTGCTCAGTGTGGTTATTAATCTGAGTGATTGAATTGTACTTCATCTTCTACTTTAATTCTCAGATCACTGTTTCATCTACAGTTGCAGTTTCCTTTACATTACTGCCATTCTGCACTACATGAAAGTGCCACATGGTTTAACTTCACTTTCCAACTTACTTTCCCACATCTGAGCTTGTTACTAACTGGCTCACTGCGCACCTATAGTTGACACAGCCGAGCACAGAGACAGCTCCTCATGTTCATTGCTGTTCTGTGGCTTGGTGACTGTTCTCTTGCCAGGGGTACTAGTTTGTCAGGGCTCCTCACCTCCAAAATGTATTAATCAGCTTGAAAGGACGTAGTTCTGGATGCTTAGTCATGTCTGTGTTGTGAGCTTGCTTCTTGAGCAGCAGAGATATTTTGTTAGGCTTTCTGATGTCATTGCGCTTTTCTGCTGAGGGCAGAGGTACTACTTGGACCAGAACTTGCACTTAGTTTCTTGTTTGGCTGAATGTGGTGTAATAGCAGTGCTTGTGTGCTTTGAGACATTCCTGTCACATAGTTCTGTACTGACACTCTCACATGTGTCATGAAGCTTTCTACCGTTACAGGAAAAGTGTCATTTAGGATATGCTTTACAATACTGCTTCCATGATAATGTAATCCATTTGGAACTACAGTCTCATTAAGCGCCAATAATGAAAATAAGTAATGAATAACTACTTAATTGTTTTTATTGTTAGGCATTTTTCTACATGGTGTTCAGATTTTGTTTTGAAGACCATCCTTTCACAAGGTCTTTTGTAATTTTCATCATAAAGTCACAGTGCCTCCAGCCTTTATTTCATATTATGTTTTTGGAAGCTATTTATTTTGACGAAGCTGAGGCATGAAGAAATTAATACTTAGTGTTAAAATAAATTACCGTAATTAAGGCCTAATGAAAAATCAATTATCTCTTAAATAGAGGCAACCCGTGAAAAGTTTGTGAATTGTTTACTGTTATGCGAGAGCTCTTCAACAGAAGAAGAAATGGAATCCAGAGTAATATTAATGTGTGTTAATCACAAATTATTTGTTCCTTGAAACTGCTCATTTAGAAACTGAGAGACACAAAATTACAGCAGTGAGCATGATGGCACTGTGGAGATGAACCCCTCTGACAGAACGCTGAATCATCCCCAGAGCTCTCCATCCTCTAATAAATGAGTCGGGCATTTATTGGGGTTTGTAATTACATGATCACATAATACATGTTCCAAGGAGGGTGGCATTTAGAGTTTCATCCTCAATTTCTGAATCTTTTAATTTCACAACTTGATTTGTCAGCTCTGCTACTTTTCTTCAGCTCTTTTTATGCATGACTTTTTGCTTTAGAAAGACTGGAAAATCTGATTCCATACTTTTACAGTGTATTGAAATTCACAGTTATCATATTTACATGGTTTGCAGTTTGTACTGCAATAGTAAGTTGTTTTTTCTCTGAAAAAAACAGACTGGAGGACTATGAGTATTGTTTTCTGAGTATTTAATAAAGGCAGGAGTAAGTGTATTGAATATTTGGTGTTTAATGCTCAGACAAGTAATGTGTCAGTAATATTACAGCTAGTGTAGAGAAAATAAGTTTAACTTTGGTGACCGTATGAACAATTAAGAATACAGTCTTGGTATAAATCTGCTTAGTTTTTGAATACTTAAAGCCTCTCTTATTTGCTATGCAATTTTATGCAGTTTTTTTTCTTTTTTTTTTTATAATGAAGTTAGTGTAGTATATTGCCACCAGATCTGTTATGATACAGTCTTTGAATATATATATTTTTTCTTTTATTTTTTCCCCTTCAGGGAATATCTGACTCCAAAGCAGTGGTTTCTGCTTGGAAATGTTCATTAATGTAAGACAGTGTCCTCATGAAACTTGTTCCAGAGAAGGGGTGCATTTTAAATCAGGTGATTAAATTTAAAAAATGTGAAAACGTGGACAATTCTATGAAATACTGAATAAAGGTATGTAAAAAAAATAAAATTGTCCTATCCCTTCAGCAAACTGTTATGACAAGTGCTTTTGTAGACAATTCCAGTGAAAATCATTCAGCTTTGGAGTGCTTTTCCACTAACAAAAAGCTAAAAAGCATGAAAGCGGAACACACACCTGCTTTTTGTTGGTGTGAGTTTGTCATATGTTAAAACACACGTGCACACACACACACACACACAAAAAAAAAAAAAAAAGAAAAAAACAATCACTATGAGTGGTGTGCTTTCTCTGAAGGAGAGAAGGAGAGTTGCCTTTCCATCATTTCTATGGTATATGTTTGTTCACCAGTTCAATTAAAAAGATGTGGTAGCTGAGCAGATGAAAGGAAATGCTTAATTTGAAAATGCACGAAAATGTTAGCAGTTGAAAGTTGGAGAAAAATGGATTTGATGGATAGACAACTCCCTGGATAAAGGGTTGGCTGGATGGTTGTACTCAGAGAGTTCTGATCAGTTGTGCAGTGCCCAAGAGGAGACCAGTGACAAGTGGATTTTCTCAGGGATCGCTGTTGGGTCTGGTGTTACTTAACACCTTTGTAGGCAATGTGGACGGTGGGATTGAGTGCACTCTCAACAGGTTTGCAGACAACACCAGGCTGAGTGGTGTAGTTGACTCTAGAGGAATGGGATGCTATCCAGAGGGACCTGGACAGGTTTGAGAGGTGGGCCTGTGCCAACCTCATGAAGTTCAACAAAGCAAAGTGCAAGGTCTGGCATTTGGGTTGCGGCAATCCCAAGAACAGATACAAGTTGGGTGGAGAATGGCTTGAGAGAAGCCCAAAGGAGAAGATTTGGGATGGTCAGTTAATGAAATTCAACGTGAGCCTGCAGTGTGCACTTGCAGCCCAGAAAGTCAGCCATTTTCTGGGTTGCATCAAGAGAAGAGTGAAGAGTAGGTTGAGGGAGGTGATTCTGCCCCTTTACTCTAATGTTGTAAGACCCCAACCTGGAATACTGCATCCAGTTCTGGAGCCCCCAACACAAGAAGGATATGGAGCAAATGGAGCAGGTTCAGAGGAGGACAGAGATGATCAAAGTCTGGAGTACCTCCCCTACAAGGACATGCTGTGACCTGGGGCTCTTCCGCCTGAAAAAGGCTCCAAGAAGACCTTAAAGCAGCTTTCCAGTACGTGAAGGGGGCATCCCTGCCTATAGCAGGGGGATTGGAACTAGAAGATTTTAAGGATCCCTTCCAATCCAAGCCATTCTATGATTCTATGAAATGTGCAATTGAGAAACTGTAGAGAATTATAAGGTGTGTAAGAAAGTTTCAGGAAGGTCTTTCGGTGACCATTTCTGCCTCTTGCATTAGGTGAATGTTGAAACTGGAGTGGCAAATTTCTCATCAGTAAATGTGTAAAGTAAATCTGATTAAGAAGCTTATTTAACATCTGAAAATATGTAATGTGTTCAAAAATTTTTTTTTTTTTTTAAATTGGAGAGGAGAATTACGTGCTTAACTCTGGTCAGAAATCTTGGTTTTATTCAGTCCTTGTCTTCCTCTACAGGTTAAAAATAAGAACCTCATCAGTCTATCTGGATTGTGTCTGCAGTGTGGTCCATAAAGACATTACAGATTTAGATATGAAAACAGATGGTTGTTACCAGTTATTGCAGCAGGATGGCTCATGTCTTACTGCATGTTTTTTTTCTTAGATTAAATTGGGATTTCAGATATAAAGATGCAGTTAGTGAAATTCCTGTAAAGTATCCCAGAGAATAGTAAGGCAAGAATTCACACAGGGATTTAAATAATTATTGCATAAAATACAAATGTTTCTATCATCTTTTATTTATTTATTTTTTTTCTGAAGAATCACCATCAGTGGTTCTGTGTTCTGAAGAGCATTTATTTCATGATTAAAATAATTAGCTGGTATCCTCTCTGGAAGGAATACTTTTGATACTCAAAATGAAATACTACTGTAAAAAAACAAACAAACAAAAAACAGGCTGCTGTTGTAATAACTTCATTTACACTGAGTCTTATGTATGCAAACACGCTTCTACATCAGGCATTTATGCATGCCTTTTATTGTTCTTGTGCACTTGAGCATTATTTTTTCCAGAGACATTGGAGGTTAGTGTCCACATCTTGTCACAGTTTGCTCTGACACCCAGTATGTTATAATATAAGTAAACATAATTAAAGCTTAGTCGATTTATACATTTTCAGATGAGGTAATGCATCTCAGCAGTGTTCTTTATAACTAGGGATGATATCTGAGCAAAACTGACTGAACCTGAAATAGGATAGCTTTTTTCATGTTTCTTGAAGAGTTATATTTTCATAAGGTGTTTGTATTAAAATTGTTATGTATGTGAATTTGCACCGCAAGAACAATATTTGAGAAGTTGCAAACGTCTGGTTCAGTCATCTGTCTTTTGAGTGACTGCCCTTATAGTGAGAATCACTTTATCTCATCTAAAAGAAGGAGTTACCATAGTAAGCATTTTTCAGGACGTGGAGCATGCAAAGGAAAAGTCATCCAGATGAGTTACAGCAAATAAAAATTTCAGACAGTGCCTTTTATCAAATTACATTATATGATTTATATCCTACAGTGTAAGGGTCTGGCAAATGAGCTATGAGGAAGGGATTCTGTTCTTGGACTTGTGTTTCTTATGGGCTAGTTTCCCGTGTAAAGAACCATGAGAATGATCTACATTTAATGTGGTACAGTGCCAAGGAAATAAGTGATCTCAGGAAAATTGAATGAACTATGAATTAACTAAAAAGTGTTATATAAACCAGAAGGATGTAGTTAGCTTAATGAAGGTGGAAAGAGGCAGCCACCACCGTATTGCTTTCTGAATTTCTTTTCATTGAATGATAAGTACTTGGA